TGACTAGGTGCGTTTCTTTATGTCTTCCTACCAATATGACAGAGTTGCGAAAACAAGGTCAAACAACTTCTAGGTTGACCTAGTTGTCACAACTTGATTTTTGTTGTCAGGACGACTTAGTAGAACGCACCTAGTTCGAAGTCGTCTGCCATAGTAGTTGTCATAATTCCAAGTCCACTGTCTGATGTCGGGAATTATGACAACTACTTTGGCGAACGACTTCGGACTAGGTGTGTTCTACTTAGTTCCCATGACAACAATACCAAGTTACAACAAAGAGGTCAACTCACTTCTAAGGCTAAGTGAAATTCATTGGGAATAAAAGGCCTTCTCATATCATTTTGGAAAACTCACTATCAATCCCTTATCAGCTTAAGCGACCTAGGGTGATTGAAGGTCTGGCTCCAAAGATGTCTAACACATTGCAAACCAAATCTTAGCATGGCTCAATCAAGAACAATAGTTATCATGCTCTTTTGATAAAATACGATCTTGCCTCAATTTTTACTAAGGCGCATTATTGATTCAGATGCAAAATATGCCATAGAAACCTTAAAATTCTAAGAAAACCATCTGCATAGATACATATGTATCTCGGACTGATGAGCACAACCCTAAATGGCTTGTTTGAATGCTTTTCTTCTTTTGTTGTACGCACCTGTTGTAATAAGATTTCGCCACATTCAGGGAGGTTAATTAAAGAGCCTAAAGAAAACAAAACCAGCCGGATATTCGTATGTTGCTAAGGCATTCCGGTGCATCCACTGTATGCTGGTTCATTTATTTTCATTGACTGTCACTTTAGAGACGAAATCTACGCCAGAGTATTATGGCTGAATGCACGACAGAATGAGCAGTCCAGAGACACACGACAAGACTGCATTATTTACTCGAATCATTCACCTCATTCTATAGCAAATAAACTCATCTAGCAGAAATGGTATTTGTGGAAAAATGATATTTTATTTGCCGATAACTCACAAAACCAGGTTTCTAACTCTCGTTCAGCTCCTCACTCTTAGAGGCATTGACCCGAACAGATTGCACTCTCCAGCATATCTTATCAATTATATAATTTAATTCAAGGTTTTCTTGTCAATAAATTCAATCAAATACCAATGAAAAAGCATTCTTTAGCCACAATACACTCATCAATAGTTCTTACTAACCTGGAAAACTATGATTAGGGGAAAACAATTGTATATACGAAGGAAATTCGATGAATCTACTGAAATAATATTATTGTGGAGACTTTCATTTTTCTCGTTATGAGTATATATATCATGTAGGAAAGAGTCGAACAGTCTTCTTGGCTTGGTACCAACTTGAGGTTTTTGCAAGTATGCGTTCCAGCTCTGACGATACCCGTCATATGGCAGAAGAAAGCTCAGGCCATTTTCACCCATGTCACGTGGACCTAATCGTCGTATGAAAGCCAAAGGGTTGCAGAAAAACTGGAATCAGCCGTAGTCTTCTGATGAGATCGACCTACGAATCTCTTCATCATGCTTTTTCATACGAAACGAAAGCCTTTATAACAATGACGACAATTGTGTCAATACTTGAGAAAATTACGATGAGCGTCTTCGAAAAAGTGATGCCCTATTGGAACTCCGATGAGTCTGATGCTGGATCCTGTGTTGACTGCCTACTTGTGAGTGCTCTTTCTTTTGTCTTTTCATGGACTGCGACAGCACAAAAATGAAATATCGCTTTCTCGGAACAGGCAGGAATACGCGGCCGGAGAGCCAGACGAGGAACTGAGGCGTGAAGTAAATCACCACGTTTCAGCGTCAAATTCACCAGTGGCCATTTGGTGGTCTTGACACAAAACAATTCTTATTAGTTGACCATAAAAGGCTCAATTAACATCACTGTTTTGTTGGCAGGCTTAACTCTTCTTCTTAAATCAAGCTCGAATTCGCCATCGTTAACCCATAAGGTGAGTACATCATGCTTTGACGATTGTCGCAGGATGTATATTTGAAGCTTCAGTCCTGGAGATGCCCAGCATCTGAGCACAAAGGCCTGAAACTTAGTCACCTTGCCGAAGAGATCATTGAACTGATTTAGCTTCTAACGTCTCTGTTCATGCATTAGGCAGTGGAATAAAAGTAATAATATTTAAGTTCCTTGATGAACCGATCTACATTTTGTTGGTCTGCTCCATTTTGCTTTTTATGCGAGGTTAATGCCTACAGTCATAGAGTCAGACTTTTTCGTTCAGGGTGAAAATGATCTGAGTTTCCGTCTGTCATGCTGTTTGACCAACAGCACCAGAGTTACAACTCTGGCTTATTACAAATACAAGCTGACATTAATCAAAAGCATTCATCGACTCTCCGCTACCTGCTAAATATATACGAAAAAGCAATTCATTGAGGGAAAGGATGGTTAATTCACTTTAATGTCTATCTATGAGTTTTTAATGTGGATGTGGATGCACAAAACTCCAGTGGTCGACATAAGTAATAAGAAAAGTCTAACATCTGTCACGAGGCATTAAGTTTTTAGCAATTCCTTTGACTACGATCACATCACTATGCTTGTATAATATGGAACAAAATGTGGTAGTGTTGATGCAATTTCTGCCTTTAATCAGATGTGTGGAAAAAGGGACTAACTTTGAATAATAATGGCAGTATAAGGCCTTCTACATGTTTGATTGTAAAAAAATTAATCATCATTCGAACTATAGTCGAATTATATTCAATTATTCAACTATGGCATTATTCAAGTATAGCTTCTAAACTTACTCACCAAATGGCTGGGCAGATTACCGACAGTATACAATTGTGTTCAACCGTTTTGGTAGGTAAAATAGAGGCCAAACATTCAATGGGATATGACAAATGTTCACTACGTTCCGAAGTTTCGCAAACTCATAATTAAATGTACACACGCATATAAAGATATGAAGATGACTTGACTAAATCATTCTAACTCTCAAAAAATTAATTATTGTGTATAGCAGGTATGAATGGAATGAAGTAAAATCGTAGAAAGCATACAGTTTTTATAATAATGAGTTAAAGTAATGTTGACTTAGGTCAAGTGGCTAATCACTTCGAAAATATGAAGAAAAACTGACTTTCAAAGAATTCCTTAGTGATATATTGTGATATGACTTTACAATTACAAGAAAAATTGGTTGGAAGGAATTCGTGATGTGGTCTCATCTGAGACCGAAGGAGGATTGTCGAGTAGGGAATACTTTGGTATGGCGTTAAAAAGTCCTTGGCTCATCGTCCTGTGACCCCGATGAACCTGTGCTAGACTTTCATCTGTACTATGACAGACATCGCAAGAGCAGGAATCCATACTTTATGAAATAGAGCAAATATATACTAAACCAATAGAAAAGGTGGTCAGCTGCAACTCTAGTAGTTTTCTTATACACCTCAATGAGGAATCCCACGACAAACTTAAACTTATAGAAGTTGTTTGCCCTTGTTCTCGCAACTTGGTCATATTGGCAGTAAGACCTAGAGGAACGTATCTTGTCAGGAGTGTGTAGTATGCATGCTCATTTCCAAAGTCGGACCGTGGACTTGGTACATTCCCAGACACTTCGCCGGCATTGTAGTCGGCATCATCAGTGAGTCTTGCCATTCTCAGAAAACCAAGCTACAACTCGTCAAAGAGACAAGTGAAGTCAATCCCTTAACCAACTTTCCGTCAAGACGGTTTTGCTATCACTTCTCGTTCTGTTTTGGTCCCTCTATTCATTTCCTACCCTCTATATTCGCCCTCATCCTATCACAACTCCTGACATGTTTATATTCCACAAGAGATGTGCCCTTTTGGCGAATTTACGTTGGCGTCATTACACCCGCTTTTTGCCTTGCTCCCCTCCCTTTCGGGTGGCTGATCCTGCTCCAGTCTCCTGTCCGGGTCTGCAACAAGGGCCCGTAGGTCCGTTTCTTATCTTTTGACGAGTTGTAGTGTGATGCTACGAATGGCAGCACTCACGGACGATGCCGAATCCGATGCCAGCGAAACGTCTGAGAAGGTACCAAGTCCACGGTTCAATTCTGGAAATTATCATGGATACTATGGACCCCGGACAAGATGAGTTCCTCTAGGTCTTCCTGCTAATATGACCAAATTGCGAAGCCAAGGTCAAACAATTTCTCTACAACGAAGGTAGACCACGACAATACAAGAGGCCACACCATCCTGGTCTTCATACCTTCAACTTAAACTTACTCTACCTGCTTGCCGACAAGTGAAGTTAATTCATGCACCCTATTTTACCTAATAACTATATGGATCAATTATAAATTGTGTGTCTCAAGAGATACTCATAGTTA